TAGCATCACGAGCACCGGGAGCAGCAGTAACAGTAACAGCAACAGTCCGAGCCAGACAGAACCACGCTTTGTGTTCCTACTCCGTTGCCCCCATTGCCCACTCACAACGGTGCGTTGGCAACATTTTCTGCTCCACGCACCCACTTGCCCCGGAGCAACCAAAGCCGGTTTGACCAGTTATCGTTGTCGAATCTACTGGTGTTCGGATTGTCAAGCCGTGTCAACTGAGCAACACTTGGTTACCGAGCATGTCATGTATTCGCATAAGCTAAAGGTTTGTTTGTTTTTTGTTTCTCTCTCTCTCTCTGTCTGTGTGTGTCTGTCGGTCTATCTTGGAGTTTGAGATGTTTTCTATGGAAAACCCACTCGAACCCCCGGTGGTGTCATACAAGATAAACTGTTGACCAAATATTGAAAATCGGTTCTCGTAGCTCGGGTGAACTGAATTCCATTTCGCCTGTTCGCCGAGCTTGGCAATTTGTTTGCAAACGTTTCATCACCAGCCAAGGTGATATCATCAGCGCTTGTGGTGTCACCTCGGCTGGTGATGAAACGTTTGCAAACAAATTGCCAAGCTCGGTGAACAGGCAAAATGGAAGATAGACTGTGTCCCGCTCTGTAGATTGAGTCCAGTGCTAGGCACTGCACGAATCGAAATATAGAACGTTTTTCGCATGCCAAACACTATGTGAGCTCCAATCTTGTACAAACCATGGTGTGTGTGTGTGTGTGCGTGAGGTAGTTCACACTACGGTGAAGAATAATGGACTATATATAAACTTCTAACCTTTGGGTCCACTCGGTTTTAATTTTTCAATCAGTTCTTCGTTTACAAAGCGCTTGCTTATACTATTCTGGACTGCGTTGTAACTACTGTTTGCGACCTGCTCATCAGAAGTGAGCTAGTGCTTTTCCGTCAAGTTCCCTTGCCCATCCACCTCAGCCTAGTCTGTAATTTATTTCTAGTAATCAACTGTGAAGTATGTTCCCAGTTTGCCCCTGCAAAATGGACGCTCCGTGGTGCTCCCTTGCGGACGCACTGGTCTGACGAATTGGTCTGTCGACCGGTTTGGACTGATTTGACTGGTCGATGTCCCACTTACGCACAAGCATTGGAAATCTGTCTCCCTGTCTCTCTCTCTCTCTCCCTCCTCTAATCCCGTAAGCGTCCAAGAGAGCCCTGTGTACAACCGGATGGGTTGGGTGGCATCCGGCAATCGAGCCATTTGTTCATTCAGGACACCAGTACGCCTCTTTGCTTCGTGTGCTAGTAGTAGTGTGGCGTTTCCCTTCCGACTGACCCGTCCATTGCATATCGCTTGTCTTGTGTGTGTCACTCTCTCCATCAACCCTGTATGCGCACGAACGCTCCACAGGACCGCGTATCGGTGTGCTTGTTTGCCCTGGAGGATAGATGCAGCAGCAGCACCGGTAGAGAATGGATCATTAGATAAACAGACAGGCATATAGACAACAAACCAGACGAACACGACCGCACCTTCACACGGACAACAAGGTCTGCGCGTTCGTGAATACTGCAAACGCTTTCCTTCCAAGTTGTGGACGCATGAATGGCTGAACGGATCGATGAGTTAGCCTAGTATTGGCAAAGCAGGCAAATGGACTTGTGGACCGGAGAGAAGTCGGTCTCGCCCTCAGAAGAGCCAAGTGATGTGGTGTCGCCGCCCTTGCCACAAGCAGCTGGTTTGTTGTCGAAGTGTCTCACGCACGCACTCGTGCGCTCTTTTGTTCCTTTCATTCAGACCCTCGCGGTCGGGTGAATTGGGTGTGTATATATGCGCGCACGTTGGTATCCGTACACGCGGTCGGGGTACACGAACAGCTATCCGCCTCTTGCAAGTGACGTGTGTGTGTGTGTGTGTGAGCGCACAACCTCATGTCACAACCGACCAGCAGCACATAGACATCATGTGCCGCCCACAGAGGGGTTCAAGAGGCGGTTGAAGCGACGCGACGAGGTTCACACCTGCTGCTAACCATCTGGTCACGAACTGGTGCATTCATCGAACAGTTCGACGACGACGATGATGACTGAATTCACCCATCTAGTAGGTAAATATCAAGACAGTGTTGGAAAACGGGACTAGATGCACGGTCGAGGTAGCGTTTTATCAGATCTAACGGAACGAAACTGATTCCTTAAGAACGGGTACAAACTTTGTCCTAGTCCATACGCTACCGATAACACTAGTTTTTCAAGTCAAGTTAATCATGAATATTCACCGAATTGTCAGCGCAATATTGATTACCCTAATCTTGTTGCTGTGTTTGTGATACAGACAATCTGATTGGATTTCACTTTTACTGTGGCCTTAAGACGCCCTGCGGTCGGAATTTCCGAGTTTTTCAGTTTCACTTTGTACAATCATTAACCATGCACTATCGCGCGCCGGGTTTGGCTGCTATCTTTCGGGTGACCATTTGGATGAATATTCGGAGAACGACAGGAAAGGTTGAAAGTAGGATCGAAGAGAAAATTGAAAAGTTCGGTGGACTAATGTTGAAAAGAAATTGATAAGTTGCACTAACACCACTGTTTACGACACCCAGCCATATCACTCAGTGTCTCTAACCATTGGGTACGACCATCCCAAGTTCCCCATCCAGGGAGTCTCACTGGACCTATGTGACCCAGTCTCCTGGTTAGGGTTTTCATACCCTGATGCCAGGTCTGAGCTTGACCACTCTTGACTTTTTTCTACTCGGTGTCTGCTTCGGCGAATATCGCTCGCCGTGGTAACCTATCTGGTGACATGCGTAACACATGTCCCAACCAGCGTAATCTATGGAGGTCGACCACTTGCTCCAGTGGACGACCGCAGTTACCTAAAACATTGAGCCTAACCTCAGCATTGCTCGTCCGGCTACCCCACCAGATTCGTGAAATGCTGAGTAGACAGCGGTGTTTAGACACCGACAGTCCCTCTTTATCCTGTTTTCATAATGGCCAAGTTTGTGCACCGTATAGCAGGACTGACCAAACTGTCGCGGCATATACTCGACCCTTCACAGACAGCCGGATGTCGCGAGAACGCAACAGATGTCCCAAGTTGGCAAATGTCAACCAAGCCTTCTTGTATGCGAGCTGACACATCATCCGTGATGCGTCCACCGGGTGAGATGTAGTTGTCCAGGCAACAAAACTTCTTCACCTGCTCTATTACTTCCTCAGTTAGAATGAGGCTGGGTGCTGTACCAACACAGTCTTGTGGTAACATTTTAC